ATATCGTCCATCTTCTAGTCATGTCTCTGGTCCTTGCTCCAGTATAACGAGCGAAGTCGTCCAGCCATCTTGTTCTGGGACGTCCGAGACCTCTTTTTCCTTGTGGTATCCAGTCAGTTGCCACTCGAGCCCAGGAGTCTTGAGGGGACCTTCTTGAGAGACGCGCAGCGTAGGACCATTTTCTTTGTAGTGCCGAAACCACCCAATCTTTCAGCGATGTCCTTCTGCGTAGGATTTTGGATGAGATTTTGTCCGAAAGCCTAGCTCCAAGTATGGCTCTTTCTAAACGTCTTTGTGCTGTTCTGAGGCACATCGCCACTTCCTTTGTCCATACCCATGTTTCGCAACCATATAACACTGTTGGTAGGATACACATATTGATAAGTTTTCGTTTCAAACCATCATTTCCACTCGAGGTTGTCGAAGGAACAGTCGGTTCTTGAAGTATGAGGCACGAGCTGCTTGAATACGACTATGGATCACATCCTTAGGATTTCGCGGGAACGTTATCCTTTGACCGAGATAACTGAAATGGTCGACTCGTTCGATTTCATTTTCCTGCACGTATAAGGGACCGTCCGTCTAAATCTCCTAGATCGGCTTTACTCAATCTCATCCATTTCGTCTTCATAAAATTAATAGTGAGTCCCACTTTCTCCGCAGCATCGGCCAACATTTTTGCCATTATTCCAATATCTTCACAACTATGAGCGAGAAGGACAATATCATCAGCATAAGCTAGGTACGAGAGGGTTTTGTTCCCTAGTTTCAGTCCTTTGCCCTGCCCAATCCAATCTAACTTCAGATCAGCGCACTGGAGAACTAGATTGTGAGAGACTGGCAGACATTGAGTCTCCTTGTCTTACACCCCCCCGCCTCAGATTGCAACTCCTGGCTAGTTGGTTCGCTATCTGGACGGCAGCGGTACTGTGTGTGCATACAGCAGTTGTATGGCCATTATCAAGTTCTCCTCCACACCAAAATACTCCAACGCTTTCCATATCATTGGAAGTTCCACGCTATCGAAGGCCTTCTTAAAATCGACGAAAACGGCACATAGCTCTATATTGAACTCGTGACATTTCTCGGTAATCATATTAATAGTGTGAATATGATCTATGGTCGAGAAGTGCTTGCGGAAACCAGCCTGCTCCGGTGGTAGAATTGACTTTTCCTCAATTGTGGCTGTCAAACGCGGTCTGCAAAATATTCTTGGTCAGGCACTATACCAGCGTCGACAGGGCAGCGAATTATTTGGCGCTGTAATTAGCGATGTAGATGGGTCTCCACAGTTGTAAGTAGAATTGGTGTGAGCCGAATGCAAAAATGCAGGCAACAACCTCTGTCGTTCCAATGTTTGTTGAAAAATGTGTTATGGGTAAGGCGAGTATTTGTGAAAGAGCACGAAGAGAAGGGGATTGAATGCCATCGGAACCAGCAGCTGAACGTGCTTTGCTTCTCTTCATTGCCATTTGCACTTCATTATTGTGGACCTGCAGATTTATTTGGCCTGATGGTGGAGTGGGTGGGCCGAAGGAGGAGTGGTACAGTGCGTTATAAAAATTTCTCACTGCTTTCACTGACTGCGACACGTGATCAGGAAAAGGTTCATCTGATGGCTTCACCGCTGCCGGTTCCTCGAGAATCTTCGCACAAATGATCAAAAACACTCTATTTGTGTCTGTGCGATAAAGAATAAAGTATAGTATAGTATAGTATAAGTAAACCCATGGCAACCTTTTGATTATATTCAACAGCAACATTCCTATTTTTCTGGAAATATGTGCTAGGAAGCACTTGCCTGAACCATCACGTCATCCTGCTTTGGCTGTTGGAGGGCCGACGTGCTAGCTCTGTTCGAAATACTTCTATGCGACCCTTCCCCTTCAACACTCTCAGCACGCTTTGGTGGAGAGACGGTGTCTGAGACGGCACGTTTGGAGAACGATCTGTTTGTAGGCTTTCTGAAAACAGTCTCCTTACAGATTTTTGAAGCTTTCCAGAAACGAAATGGGTCTAGTTCCTTTTTCAGAGCTTTTCACGCTCACTTCAGAATACACCGTTTTCCATGTCTGCTCCTGTGTTTTTAGTCTGTTGGGGGAAATTACCCATGGGATATGGGCAAAATTCTTGGAATGGCTCTATCTCAGTATTCGAACTCGCAGCTATTCCAGGGGGATACATGGCAGGAAGGGACGTTCCCGAGTGCCTACTTGAGAACCTCGCGACGGTTGCCTTCTCACGTGTTGACTCGCCTCTCTTGTACATATAACTGTATCTCTCCTACATGTGGACCTTCGCAGCCTGTGGCCGTGTCGCAACTAGTCTCGAAAATCCCTGAGATAGGTAGGCATGGCTGCTACTTGAGTTGAAAGGGAGCAGCTAAACCTTCCGTGAGATATTTTGATTCCCACTCCGTCCTAGGGGTAATGGGTATACGTATAGTTTTGGAACACCGCAATCAGTCAGGGATCAAGGTTAAGCAACACGTTGCGGAAAATCGCACGATCGGTACGATTCCACTTCAGGATGCCGAAGTTCTCATGGGGTGCGCCACGCACTCGCCCTACATCAAAAAGCACAGCGACGTCGAAATATTGATCTATGGATTTAAGCCTAATGTGGAACAAGCAACCCTCGTTAGCTTTCTTATTGAAAGGAACTTGCTGCAAAATGCCCAACACGGTTTCCGCCGGCACAGGTCGACGGCTACTGCGCTGTTGTCCACCGTTCCCCTATGGCAAAAATATGTTGACGAAGGGAGTTTCGTCTCAGTGTGTTACATTGACTACGCTAAAGCATTCGATTCTATTTCCATACCGCTGCTGCTAAAAAAGCTTACCGCTTACGGTATCAGTGGTCAACTTCTCCGCTTTCTCGAGTCCTTTCTGTCGAACCGGTCTCAATCAGTCGTAATTAATGATGCCAAATCCTACTCGTATTCCAC